TTTGTTTTCCTAATTTGTGATAACTAGGATGCATTCCTTCTGCTAATCTTCTGATAGAATATAACTGCATATGATTTCTTCCCAATGTAAGTATAATTGAAAAAATGTTTAATTATTTAGTACTTAACACAGCAACAATTTGGAAAATCAATGTTGATTTTCTCAAATAATACTTTTAGTAAATCAAATGTATTTTTCAATATGTTTTCAGACAAAAATCACTAGTTGTCTACGACTATTACACGATTTCAATAAAATTTCTTCTTCATTCATTCACAAATAATTACAAAAATTGCAAAAAATAACGATAAAACTCACAGACTAACATTCACTACATATGTTTTTTTAAAACTGTCCGTTCACTCGAGGAGCAAAAATGGCGGATGAGAGTACTCATCTCTATAGTGCTTTACGCGCACCTCTAGTAGTTTTTGGGTTCGTCTGCCGAACTTAGCGCTGGCAGCCGCGAGATGTCGGCACCGTCCTGGTCCAAGACGTCAGAGCTACGGATAGTCAACCATGGGGTGTCAGCACCGAGCAGGTGCGGGATGCCACACATTGTCAGTATCTATTTCAAAAATAGATTTTCCGCGCATTTTTGATTGTAATTAGAATTTTTAACAGTTAAATAAAGTAACATTATAATGTAATTACTATTAAATTAAAATAATATCATATTTGGATCTATATTTTTATAATTCTTGAAAATAAATTGAAGAGTTGAAGAATGTTCTTTTCTTTTCATTTCTTGTATTTAATAGATTTTTTTTTTCAAAGGAATAATATTCTGAACTATGATAAAATGGAGGAATGGAGCTAACTTTGACAACCACTGTTTCGTCTTTAAGTTCATTTGAAAATGTGCTTGTTTTAATGATAATCAGTATTATTAAGATATTTTTTGTATTACCTTTATTCTAATAATTAACATTAAAATGTTATCAAACGTATTAAAATCTGTATTTGGTTATGATCATTTTAAAAGTGACATTCAGGAACGTGCCACTACTGCTATTTATAAAGGTTGGAAATTTCTATTTTGCATATGTAAATAAATTTCTTTTTTTAAATAACAAACCTTTTACTAAGTGTCAATATATGTAGATTGTAAATATTTATATAACTTATAAAATATAATATGTCAAGATATTTCTCTAAAAAATAGAAAAGAAATAATGAATAAATCAGAAATAATTTTAGGTAAACAAGATGTTTACGTATGTATGCCCACTGGATCAGGCAAGTCACTTTGCTTTCAATTACCTGCAATAATGAAGGAAGATAAAGTTACAATCGTATTTTCACCGCTATTAGCTCTAATGAAGGTACATAAGTATTTTTAAAAATATTTATATATATATATATATATATATATGATATTATGATATTGCCAAAATACATGATTATACTAAAAATGATCTTAACAAATATTCCATATAGAATCAAGTGGATTTTTTAGTTAGTAAGAAAATTAAGGCAGTTTCGTTAAATTCAAATACATCTGTCAAAGATAGAAATGCAATAATGAAAGAATTATCATCTAATTCACCAAAAATTAAATTATTATATGTTACACCTGAAATGGGAGCACAACAGCATTTTCAAGTAAGAAAAGTTATGTTTAGGAAATATCTACGTAACTTAATGTAATAATGTAATTATTCTCTATTACTGTTATCTTGTCAAATTATAGGAGATTGTAATGAAGTTGCAAAAATCTAAGGCTCTATCTTATTTTGTTGTTGATGAAGCACATTGTTTAAGTCAATGGGGTCATGATTTTAGACCTAGTTATAGACAATTAGGTATATTTAAAAAACTTTGCCCTAAAATTCCTATAATTGCTCTAACTGCTACAGCTGCGAAAGAGGTACGTATACTAATTAATAAATTATTAAACAATTTATTTATGTTCACGTTTTTTTAGGTAGTTGATGACATATTACAGACATTGAACATGAAAAATCCATTAAAATTTTCAACTCCAGTCTTTCGTTCTAATCTTTATTACGATGTATGGTTTTTAGATATATTAGATAAACCATTTGATCATCTTAAAAATTTCATTGTGGAAGCCCTTGGTCCATTAAATGATTCTATGCCAAAAGTAATTAGAATCATTCTTATATTATCATTTATTTACTTATTACTAATTTTCTATGTTATTATAATAAATAATGAATATCAATGATTACAGGCTAAAAGAAATTGTGGCATTATTTATTGTAGAAAAAAGGAAACCACAGAAATTATAGCTAATAAATTGAGTACGTTTAACATTCCAACTTTGGCATATCATGCTGGTACGTGGAAATAATTAAAATAGATTAATAATTGGTTGGTGTCATGAACTATATTATCAATATTTTTATATTTAGAGTTTTAAAATTAACGAATCCATCCGTGAAATATTTCATACTACCAACTAACTTCTCTTATTTATTTCTTTTTTTATGTTAAAATATTCAATATATAGGTTTGAAAAATCAAGAACGTAATGAAGTTCAGAATAAGTGGACAGTAGGTGAAGTACCAGTTATTGCAGCGACATGCAGTTTTGGAATGGGTGTTGATAAACCAACTGTAAGGTATTACATAAGTACAATATAATTAAATATAACAGATATCTTACATTGCTCTTGTATGTATATGTGTATTGAATTTTCTAAATATATTACTTTTTTAATTAGATTTGTAGTACATTGGACAGTTCCACAAAATATTGCAGCATATTATCAGGAATCTGGTAGATCAGGTAGAGATGGTAATCCAGCCTTTTGTAGGATATATTTTAGTAATGAAGAATTTGGAGCTATATCATTTTTAATAAAAGAAGAACATTCTCAGAAAAATACAGAACTTGGAAAAGTACGATGGAAGAATTTTGAAAAAAGTGTTGCATATTGTCTTGAGGCCAAGTAAAATATTTAAAAATTAATTTTTTATATAATTTATTTACTAATATAATATTTGATTCAATCTTTAATGTAAAATTTTTCTTTAGATGTCGACATGGTGTATTTTCTAAATACTTTGGAGATAGCCCACCTGCGTGCAAAAATCGTTGTGATGTATGTAAAAATAAAGATATTGTTCAAGCAAGAATTTCTCAATTTGAAATGTATCGACCACGATCAGGTACATATTCGAAAAAATCTTCGAGTATGACAGATGGTTTTGCACTTTCTAAATATGATGATATGTAAGTGCTGAATAGAAATTACATAAAAAAAATGTATATATATTTATAACTATTTGATTTAGTGTCATGTCCAATTTTTTTAATATAAATAAAATTTATATTTATAGGAATGAGTATGAAGAATCAAGTTCAAGAGAAAGACTAATCACCAGTGCTAAACGAGAAACTAAAGAATTCATTGAAAAGCAGTTTTCTTTGCGTCGAAATAACAATCGTAATGAAGAAGTATGTATATGTATTTAAGTACGCGTACATATAACAATATTTTCATTTAATGTTGGTTTAGGTACGGAAACAAAATGATAAAGATGCTGAACAAGCTAATGTTCGCGCTGCTGATAGTTCTGATATAAAAATAAAGGGTTTAACTGTACAAGTAAGTAATTATTAAACTAGATATACTTTGAATTGATAAAAGATTCTGTTTTTTTAATAAATATATTTTTCCTTTTAATTTGATTTAGCTACGAGAATATTTTTATGATAGATTAAAAACGGTTTTATATGAAAATTATAAACACGTGTGTGAAAAACTGGAGAAAAATTTTCAAGAAAAAGATATGCATAATATTGCTTATCAATTAGAATACAATAAGCTCTGTAGTACAACACTTCTTAACAAGTACAAATTTGATATGTCTAAATTGGTATGTATAATATATTAATCACATGAATGAAATTGTTTAATCTTTATATATGTATTATATTTATAATATAAAAGAGGTATATATATATATTTATATATATATTGTATTTAGATTTCGTCTATACGAAAATGTACTGATAGCAATACGCCACACGAAGCATTAAAAGAATATAGTATTAATAATGAAGATAATTCTAAAAAAGCAACATCTAAAACAGAGAATATGAATTTAAATGATGGTCAAAACAGATTAAAGAGTAATAATACAATGAAAAAGGAAAAAACTAAACAATGCAGTATCATGTCATATTTACAAAGTAAATCAAGTAATAGTTCTCATGATACCACATTTAAGACAGCTTTAGAAATCAAAAATAAAAATCAACTAAAAGATAGTGAAAAGAATGAATCTAATAAAAATTATAATTTAACTGGTATTAATAACGAAATTAAAATAACGATGACTGAACATGAAGAAAGAGAAACGACGATAAAAGGTGGTAACAATTTTAAAAGTGTTGGTTTTATTTCAGCCAAAATAATTAATGAAAATAATATTCAAACTGCAAAGGATAAGATGCGTAATATACCTAAAACGAGTATTAAAGAGAAGAAAGTTAGTAAAAATATCGTCCCAAAAGATAACATTTTTTGTGAACAAACTCTACTTTCTAGAAGTTCCATTAGTAAAGACACAATTAAAGAAACTAGACTTGATAATAAAACAGACATTTTAAGTGATAATGAAAAGCTTATAAGTGAAGTTAAAGTGCATAAGGAAGTAAATAAGCGTAAAGTTAATGATTCATTTGACGACGATACTCATAAGAAAAAAAGAAAAAACATAGAAGCCAAAGAATAATAATTAATTTAAGAAATAAAAACAAAGATGTAACAGATAGTGTTTGTTTTAATTATAGAACCGTTAAAGAAGTAATCTATACTACTACAGTAATTTAAGTTAAAAAATAATCTAATCTAAGGTACGATAATCATCAATACAACATTTTGCACTGTTGTTTCACTTATCTTATTGAAGGTAATATCATAAAATATTTTTGCCATATATAAGTCTATTAAATTTTGTAAGTGTATATATATATATATATATATATATATATATATATATATATATATATACGAATTGTATAAGTATATTTATACGAAGGATTATATTTATTTATTTGTCATTGATTGCATACATATTACCTCTAATTATTTTTAATATTTATAATAAAATTTAAAAACTAAATATCCAATTATATCAAGTTCTTCTTGAATCTTTTTTGCAAAATACAAAAATATTAATAGACTAGTAACATTGTGAATATTTTTATAGAAATCTTTATTAAAAATTAAATGCTTGTTATTATCTACGCTCTTGAGATTATTAAATTGGCAAGATCGCTAGTGTTTAATCACGGACATTATTTGTTGTTTAAAATACATACATTGTATCATAATAATCATTTAAGTGGTTATTCTAGTATGAGCATCTGTTTTTGTAGTAATTTTTGGGAATTTAATTTAAAGAAACGTTTTAATCTACAGTGTTATTTTTTTTTTTTTTTGCAGTTATATTAACCGTTTGCACTCCGTTGTCTCACCGTATGAGACATTAAAGTTTATTAGTGATTACGGGGAATGAAGTTATTTCAGCACAACTTTTTGAGACATGCATGTTTCCCTGATGTTTTTTTTTTTTAAATAGAACAAGACATCGAATCAAAATATAGTAAAATAACAAAGATGTATAAAAAAAATGTCAGCGGGTTTTGTGTTCTAAGAGAATGCGAGACGTGTGCTTACGACGGTCCGAGAACTTTTAGAGAAACGTCTAGGCATCATAAACGAGCATATTTCTTTTGGTTATATTCAGAATGTTTTATTCATTTTGTTGGACGGAAGGAATTGAAAAAACAGATTAACAAAGTGACAGTACTTAAAATAGAGAACTTCGATTTTTACTACAAAATTTTCATTTCTCACATCCTAAAAAAATATTAATATTAAAGAAATTAACAAAATAGCTAATTTAATAATAGCTTGACATATACTTTATATGTCTGTTGCAAAATTGCAAGTCGATCGAAGTAGTTTCTTTAAAAAGTGCTGCTTTGAAAGAAACGCATTTAATGTTTTACTTTAAAATTGTTAAGACCTGTTTTTAAGAATTTAAACTATAAGAATATGAAAAAAAAAATCAATTTTTTTTTTGACGAGACACGACAATACTCTCCCCAATTGTCGTTCATAATAATTATTGATTTCTTATCAAATATCATTTCTTTCTACTTTTTAAAAATAATAACACCTTAAGAAAATAATTTACGTATACGCATATACATGTGTCGAAATGCCTTGTGTTATTATCTATTACGCAATAAGTACACCAACAATTATTAATTTTGTTACGTAAAAGTTGTCTTACTTTTTCTATAATGTTATTTACATATTTACATATTTACTTCTTTAAAAATTAATCACAATCATTTTGTATACGAAATGCAAAAACGTATATGTAATAATATGCTTAAAATACGTATTTACTTCAAAATAGGAATACAACGATATTCTTGATAAAAGTCAGTTCAATTACTATTAATTATTCATTGATATACTAAATGAAAATTATTAAAGATTATTCAACAATCATAATTAATTAAACCAAACGATTTGTACTAAAATTTATAAGAATATCAAATTAGATTGATTTACTAGAATTTTTTTCCATTTTCTTTATAATTTACTTAAAAAAATGGGCAGACCAAAAACTTTCTTCTATTTAGCATTATCGAATTCTTGAACCTTTATTGTCGTACATATTTTCCTTTCCCATATTCATTTAGTTACGAAAGAACATTAAATTTTTGATTAAATATATATTATATATAAGTATAAATGTAATCCTTGATAACGATAGCCTCTTTCTATATCTCAAATCGATTTTTATGAGATAACAATCAAACGATTATTTTCTTCATTATTGATAATTCATTTCATGTATTGGATGCCGCTTTGTTTTCTGAATTATTAAGCAAAGTATTGTAATGACTTTCTGTTTCTTTCGTTTTCGTAAAGGAAGATCTGTCATTTAAAAATTGTAATCTTTTTCTTTGCATTTCTTCTTCGAACCATTCACCATTACCCGTTGATTCTTTCGGACGATAAAGAAGTATTTTAACGACACTCCAAATAAGAAAAATTGTACCAAAAATGAACAGAAGATATATAACGACTTCTTGCAATATTGGTAAAACATTTAAATATATATAAAATAATACGTTTCTCTTCGATGGTAATTCATACATTCCCTAAAAAAGAGAAGAAAAACATTTTATATAATTATTACAATTCATAAAAAGCGCCAACATGTTCAGCAAAGAATTAGTACAATGATTGCTTGTAGATGGCGCTAGAGATATCATTTGTGTAAATCAAAACTTTGCTTTTAATTTACTTTTTGCTTTTAATATCGTTTTGATATCGGTACTTACTATTTCGAACCAAAGAAGAGGGAGAACAAAGTTAGAAAACTTTTCTACTCTGGCCATATGTCCGATTTCCTGGAACGCCATGTTAATTTGAAAACGGAAAGCCAAATCAACCGGTAAGCCTGATTCTGGTTGTATATAAAAGTATGATTCGTGTTTTTCCGCGTTTGGTTGCAAACCGTTTACCGCTTCGAGTAGAGATGGATGAGATTTGTAAAAATGTGGAAAGGACAATGCTATCGGGAAACCTGAAAAAAGTCAGACAAATACAAGTTAAAACCAAAGAACAATCTTTCTAATAATTACGAATTATTTAAAAATATTATTTTATGTAAAGAAAATTTGATAAATGGATTGTTTGTGACATCAGAAGGTGACATCATAACAAAATAAATTTTTATTTAACTTTTTTGCTCGTTAGAATTTTACGATTGTTGCGCATTATTTTTTTTTTTTCTAAATTTAATGACATAATAAAATAATCGATTATCCAACAATTATTATACTGTCTATGTATGGTCATTAACAATGTAACAAATAACATTACTTATTAATACGTAATTGATGCAAATAAAAACAATATGTTGAAAAGATTTCATTGAAATTCTTAGATCGAATTGGAAACAAAAGAAAGAAAATGAAAAAAAAGACATTTAGCTTACCGTAATAACAAGCGGTTACATCTATCAAACCTGGTGGTAAACAACGTTCTTCACGGCAGAAACACTTGTTTTCTTTGTTATAAGCACCATTGTCCATTTCGTTCTCCATGAAATTATATTTGTAAGCATATAAGCCTTTTACAACTTTTTCACCAGTTCGCGTCTGTAATATGTGTATATGTCGTTAATAATTATTTTCCCCTATAAATGATATTTTAATATGTAGGAATAATATTAAATTCCTATAACTCACTATTCTTCTGTTTATATCTACAAAAAATTATATATAGTACCACTTTTAAAGTTGTGTATGCTGTTATGCTTATTAGATTTTTGCTTGAAAATTATTGATATAGAATGCTTGATAGAAGACAATTTAGAAATAAATACATTAGTATACCTTTATAACATACTTAAATATTATTTATATATAATTAAGCAAATGCGAAAATAAGATTTTAAGATTTTAATTTTTTTTTGTTTTTTTTTGTTTTTTTTTTTTTTAGTATAATTATTATCGTATAATATATTAATAATAATAGTATAATACTTATAATTGTACTATACCAAGGATAAATATATTCATATATACAAAAGCTTATGAAAGGGTTAACAATAGCGATAATTTAAACTCACCATGTGAGCACTGCGACAAAGACTTTTTCGAAAGAAAAGAAGTGTATCGTTAGGTTGAATATAAGTTGGAAATTTAGTTCCATCACTGGCACCATGAATATTCGCACATTTTCCTTTCCAATAGGGAAGATCAATATTTCCGTTGTATTTGTCGATTAAACCAGTCATCTTTATATCGTCACCCCCGGTGTAAATGGTCTCATAATCACCATCGAAGTCATACATCTAAAAAGAATAAAGGAAAAAAAAAAAAAAAGAAAAATACAAAAAAGCAAAATAGGAAGAAGATTAAGATTTCGCAATGATGAAAAATTTTTCATTATGTAAGTCATGATTATAACGATGAAATAACATAGTTCTTGAAAAATCATTACCACGAATTGGTATTCAATGTTATTATTATACAGTAGTTGTCACGATTCTAGTACTAGAAGGTTCGCTATTTTGATGTGTCATGCTTGTTATTGTGAAAAGTAAATGATTTCTTAACTGAGTCATTATTATAGAATTTTTTTTAATATGCTCGTGTAAATGAAAATTAAAATTAATTAAAGAAATATTATGTAACTTACTCTATCGATGAGACCAAGTTTATCAAATTTGATCCAAGCTGGCATGAGTTTATTCCCTAGAGTAACCAGAGTGGATTCGTAACCGAACATGAATTCTCGAGCAGTCATTGGAACCAATGGTTTCGTGTCTGTTTGAAATATCAATAAATTTAAGCCCCATCTTGTAAAGTACGATGCTTCTCTCATCACATTGGTTATGCTCTGAAAATGACAATTTATAAAAATGTATATTTTAATAATAAGTTATTTAACCCTCTGAATGTGAGTAACGAACTTCAGGAATCCACGTGTAAGCGATAGTGGAGATACAGCTTATTAAATTAAAGTTTGGATAGAATTTAATGGAAGTTTAATAGAATGTTCTTCGACGCTCATTGTCAGAGGATTAAATTATGTCGATAATTTAATTAATTTTATCAATTAATCTTATATTTCCTTTGAAAGGAATTAAGATTGATGTTATTGGAATATTGTTATATGATACCAATGGTAAATCATGTTTTTATGAAATTTGCCTTGGAGATTTCACAAAGAAATCATGTTTGTGTCAAAGTCAAGTATTTCTTCATGTTACATTACGTGAAATTACTTTTACGCATGACCTGCAATATTTCATCACAAAAAGAGAACATGCGTTTTGTTTTTGATCGATAGTTTAATCAATGATTTAATCGATGAAAATCGTTCAGAAATGATGATTAATAAGAATATACAGTTATGATATAAAATTTTTTTCAACAAGTTTCATTTCGTATAAAAAATACGTAAAATTATAAAAATATTTTTTAAAAATTTAATATATCACATTATTATGAACTAAATTATTCTCGTATTAAAAGAGACGTAAAATGATTCATTTAACATTGAATTTTGTGTTCAAACGTGTTACGTTTCTAAACTTCTTCACACTTTTGATGATATGGTTAATATGACGTATATGTTTATGCTTATTTCGTGGAGTTCTTTTGATTATAAATTTGATAGGTCCATGGAATGATATCAAATATATATATATATATATATATATATATATATATTTAATGTAGTATATGTATGATGATGCAATTTTCACACGTAATTTTTACAGTTCGTGTCAAGTATTATCATTTATTGTGATATTTATTTTTTTTTTATGTGTCGATTAAAGAAAAGAAATTTCTCCTTCTCTTTGTTTTTTTCTTCTTTTTTATGTCACGGAGCATTAGGATATTTTCCTTGAGGTTTTTCGTAATTCTTCAAGAGCGCAACGTTAGATTACCTCATACTAATTCGCGTAATTTCTTCGCGTAGGAAAGTACTAGAAAGGAGTAGCAATTGAAGAAGGATGAAAAGAAGAAGAAGGAGAAAGGTGAAGAAGTGGTGGTGGAGGAGGAGGAGGAGGAGGAGGAGGAGGAGGAGGGGGGATGTGGACAACCTCGGAGGAAAGTGAAACGTTAGCGTCTGTTACGTGCAAAGCTCGTAAATACACTGCGGTTGAGAATGTTTAACTGTTTGTATATGAAGGTTTAAGGTAATTTTATCTTTGTTCTTTCGTATATACTTTTACAAAGATCTTCCGTTATTGAATGATGATTCATTTAGAAGAAAAATTTGGGAGGTATTTGTGGTATGTGTGAATTTATGTAAGTATGTGAATTGACTGAATAATCAATATCCTGATACATGTTTAGCATAACATTACGAATGATCATTTATTATTCAACATTATTCTATTCACTATTTTTATTTCTCGTTGATGCTACGAGCAATTTAATTTGGAAGAGATTGAAAATAAAAACAAAATTTTTTTTTTTTTTTAATTTATTTGTTGTATTTTATATATATATATATATATATATATATATATATATAAGAATGCATGGAAGATATATATATATTCTGTGCATTCTTTACACGTGAACCTTCGTACGATTTAGAAAGGTGAATAACACGGAGAGTCCATGGTATTGTCAAGGTCAAAGTTTTTACGCGTTTGAACACAGAGTACGACAGATAAATCAAACCAAGAGAAATATTTTATTCGTCAAAGAAATATCTTTTATATGTAAATTATATGTGATCCAAATGTTTTCATAATTTTGATAACTTTCTTTGAAACACGTTAATATCATCTATTTTTAGTTCTTTTTTTATACGCACACGAATGATAGAATATGAATTGCATGCTAAATTATATTATCAATAACATTTTGCGACCTTTTTTCTATTATTTTATGTATTAAATATTTCCAGATATGTATATTTGTTAATACTTTTTTTCAAATATTATTTATTCAAATTTAAATGGGAGAGATAATGTGGTAATTAATTTGTTTACTTACTAGAAGAGCGATATTTGGTAAGATGAGAATATCTTGTTCGGTGCCATTACTCATTTCCGGTACATATTCTAAAGGATGAAACGGTGTAACAGATACAGTGTCATTGTTGTTAAACTTGACGTTTCCATGCTCCATATGTTCTCTAAATTATAGAAATTTACATATCATTATATGAAATCATCGTTGGGTATCTATAAAAACACACACACACATGTATATATCTGTGCATAGATGTACACGTAAGGTTAGATATAATTTATCTTTCGAGATTGGTTAGAAAGACTTGTAATTGCTTTTTTTTTTTTTTTTTTATAATAACAAGAAAAAGTGAATAAACAATAAACTTGTTTTTGCTCACTTATACACGTAAGGTCCAACTTCTTGGAAATTGAGCTTGCTGTCCTTCCCAGATAAAAATTCCTCATGATTAGTAATATTGAAGAGATAGACTTTCAAAAAAATATCAACGTCAGGTTTTCTCCAGAATTCAAATATCTCACCACCCTCGCTAAAAATGACTTTAAATTTGAATAATAAATTGTAAGGTTGACAAACGAGAATAAAGCAGCCTGTTGCGAGTCCGATTAATCCTAATGCCATTAGTATAAAAATACCTGTGAATTAAAACAAAAACAAAATAAAATTAAATCGTGAGTTTTAAAATTATATTTTTCCAAATTAGCATGAATAATAACTGGTAAAGGTCAGTTGCAAAAAGTAATAGATCGTATTATATAATATTAGAAAATTACGTATTTCATTGATACTATTCCCTTTCTTTTTTCTAAAAAACACGTTTTAGTCGTTTGAATAATCAAATACTTTGCCATTCATATATTTATGATTTTAAACTTGACCTCTACAAGCTACATTGTGAATTTTATCATTGAAATAAAGTGAATAATTTTTTAAAGACTTTCTTACATAATTGTAAATGTACAAAGCTTATGATTTTTTTTCAATACAAAAGAAAAATCATCTAAAATTTATTATTTTTTTATGACTAGTCAAGTTCACAAAATTACAAGAAGTTGCATTAAAAAATCTTTGCTTTCTTTTGCTGAAGTTGAATTTAAAATGTCGTACCGTGCAGTACGGAATTGTGATTGTCTTATCAGCTGCATAAGAGAGAGAATAATTTTTTTTTTAATGTCACGTAATTGATATATGTGTACGCACGTAATAGCGAAAAGATAAAATATATTGAACATACGATGGAATTTATTTTTTTTCTTTTCTTTTTTTATTCCAATGAGATGAAGCTTTGTGTTTACTAAAGACAATGCTGTCGTTTCTTCTTCGCATTAAGAGAGGGAGAGAGTTTGATTCTTAAACAAAATTTAACACTTACTATTAAACTAAAACTCTAAATTCAGACTTGAGAACAAAGAAAATATTTGATAATTTCTGTCGAAATTTCAATTTAAATCGATCGAAAAGGTAAGGTTTAATCGAACGATTTAAAAAACAGTACACGTAGCTGTATCCTTGCATGGCGTTATACTAACTACTTGTTGCATTTATCGATCGTATTGTTTCTATACGAATGGTTTGCATCTTTTTACTCAATCTTTAAATCAAATTTTATGCTGCATTTATTGAAAAAAACTTTACTACTATGTATATATATATATATATATGTTTTGAAAGTATGTATATACATGTGTAATACATGTCATCAATTTTTCCAATTAACAGAAGTATTAGAATTATGCATCTGTAAATATTTATTAGATAATTTCGATAAACTTTGAAATAACGAAGAAAGTTTTCTCGAGTTGATTTATACATTTAATAACAACGAATAAGATAGCTAGAACGATATTAGAAATGATTTAAGAAGAATAATGATGAGATTAAAAATAAATGTTCAATGAAACTACTAACATTACAGTATTTCTTGATGAATTCGTTATTCCGACTAATATTATTTCTTCTCTAGATGCTTTGTGTTGATTCGATGCGACAATGACTGTGATCGTTTCCTCGTGAGAGAAGAAGAAAGAGAAAAAGTTATTCTTATCATTTGCATGTACATACGTCGATAACGACGTAATAATCAATTCTTTATGTCTAACTGTTAAATAATCGAGCTATAAATTTCTTCGCATAAAAATGTCGATAGATCGTGGAAACTTATCTCCAATCGAATTGTGGAAAATCATAGTATAAATACTATTACCTATTTTGATAATACAATATTCTACTTATTGTTACATAAAAAATATAGGGGAAAAAACTACACATTTATTTGAATTTTTCGATTTTTTTTTTTTTTTTGGCTATTTATTGGGTCAGTATTTCAAATGAATTGTTTCAATATTTGTAATAAAATATCAATATTTATAACTCTCTTATATTGAAGAAAATATTGATATGTAGTAACCATTTACTGTATATAATAAAATATTAATTAAAAGTATTTAAGAATAATGACCGAGAAAATGAAGATACTTTGTTATATATTATGTATCGCTAGTATATATTTAACTATCAAAATGAACCTTACATATAGTTCGATCAAGTCACGCACACGGAGAAGAGACTAATGTCCTTCGAATACTTTTAGTTGTTTAAGGAAACATGTTTGCCCTTTTTTTACTCTCCAACGATTGCAAGATCCGTTTACCAGTGTGGTTCCAGAAATGATGTTGTAACAATTTTCCGGCTGGTAATCGAAGCACGACCGTAACTTTACGACTATATAGATACAGATAGAAAGCGTACCGACGCATGATTTGCTTTGATTTTATTTGTACCATACTATATTTTGGACTAGAATTTTTCGAAACTTATAATTATTACTTTTAGTAATTTCTACCTTCGTTTCCTTAACGATATTTTTTTATTATTCGATATTTATCTCCTTCTATGTATCTATCTTTTTAAGAATTATTCACGTTAGAGTTTTACTTAAGAAATGTTTAATTCCTTTTAGAAATGTAATGAAATTTAAATGGATAAAGGATATTGAAGAAAATTTATTGCCATACTTTTGACATTAGAATTTAATCTTATTAGAAAGTATAATTATATATCATACATACATATGACACAACAGTAATATGATTCAATTTTTAAATAAAGTTTGGAAAATTAAGCGATCAAGCTTGTTTTAAAGAAAATTTGATAAACTATATATGTGATCAGAATTATAATCAAATTGTTTTGTAATTCTTTGAAGCTAAATCTCTTATTTATGTTTTGACATTGTGCAAGAACAAAAGATACAACAGGTTTAATGTTTTCCTGTCTGTTTCTTTCTACGATTAGGCTTCCTTGTTATGTTACGATTGATTTATTATTGCGTCGAGGCCAATGACTCCGACAATGACATCGCAAATCGAATGAATTCTACTTAAAAATTCTGTGTACAGATATAAGAAGAACCCTATCTTTCTCTCCCCTATTTCATTTTTTTTTTTATATATAATATTATCCATTTTTTCTTTAAAAATAACATTTTATATTACTATTTTTTGCAATCATATATAAGAAACTAATAAAACGTTGATATTTCGATTTTTGCATAATTTATAGATACCTACTGTATCTAGAAGTAAAGGAGGAATGCTAATTTAAATCCCGATGTCTTTACAAGTCACAACGACCGACAATGATCAAACGTGAAAGTGTAAGAGTTTCGAGATAATCTTGTGCTTGAATGGCAGCCGCTCCTCTGCGCAACAGAAAAGAAAATGAAAACACTTTCCACTTCTTGCTTCTTTCAATATTTGTTTCCCAAATATTTGGAAGAATTATTATTATTGGTTTAACGATAAATAAATAAATAAATAAATATGTACAATAATGAACAAGAATAAATTTTTGATTAATAACCTTTTTTTTTTTTTTTGGCGGAAAAATTACGATTTAAATTATTACAGAAAACAGGAAAAGAATAAAAGATTATAAATCTATCATGTAAAGCATTTCAATGAGTTACGATACGAAGTAAAACATCGACTGATATTTTATCTTATGCTGTACTAAAGCAAACTGAATGTTTCGAATAATTCTGTATATAGTCACAATGGAGCTATTATTCTTATCGAATAAACAAGGGTTATAGTACGGAAAATCGACGCAACTACGGTTCGCTGTCCTGTCTATGAACAAAACGATTTTATTAACATTGAACGTTCTATATATGATTGTTATTAATACTTTAACGATCAACATTAGGGGTGAGCTATAATCATTTTTAATAGATTATACAAAAATTATAAGAACGCGATTTAAAATAGATCATTTTTATTATTTTAGTTTGATGAATTATTTTCATTATTTTGTGATTAGAAATTAAAATTTCATATTTACAATTAATTATTTATAATATATATATATATATATATATATATATATATATATATATATATATATATATATGCAATATTATAACATGAATAAATAAGATCGGTGTTGAAGAATGGAAATTTTTGATGAAACACTTATACTTCTATTTCTTCACTTTAAACCGGTTTATTAAAAAAAAAACCTACAATAATTCATTTTCCACAAATATATTCTACGTCTTTGTTCGTAAATACAACAATCTAATACGTTTCTTATAACATATAAATATATATTCGTTTATAATATTTAATATATGTATCTTTTTTTTTATAATAATTAATATTCCGACGATTAATTAATTTGTAGAAAATGTTTCAGAAACATATATTTATATGAGATAAAAGAAACAAGAAATTTGTTTTTTTTTTATATGAATTAATAATCATCGCATTTCTTTGTATAGGTATTTAAAAGCTTTGATGCACAAATTAAAATTGAATGGATCAAATTTTGTAGTCTGTTTCTTTTATTTAATTTTTCTTATGTTATATTTTTTTTTTAAATATAAAATTTCGCGTAACGAAGATATTGAGATAATAGTTAAGTATTGTTAACTTTTTATTATTTATCAAGAATTATATGAAGATTTTCATATTAAATTATCTTCAGGCCTCACAGAAAGAACTATAACATATTCTAGGCATGTATCAAACTAACGATTAAAAGCTAGTGTATGCGTTACGAATAATATAACAACCTTTATAATACTGAACAAAGATATGCTATATATACAAATATATAATAGTAGTGTTCCTATTTAAAGTCTAGTCTATTATTCGCGAGAGGTCTACTCTTCCGGAGTTCATCGTGCTGCTTTAAAAAAATTTCTTTTTTTTTAAACAACATGTGTGTTTTATTATTATTATTATTATTATTATTATTATTATTATTATTATTATTATTATTATTAGGTATTATTATTATTATTATTTTGTATGTACACGAGATAAAAAAACATACATATTTAATATAGAAATTATATTTTACAAATAAAAGTTCGATTTCATTGGAATCCTTTCGAATAGCTTTATTCGATCGTGCATCGATTCTTTAATAAAATTGTACATAGGATTTTATGTTGATGTGAAGTAATTGAGCCGATTGTAATTGTTTTTTTTTTTTTTTTAATTGACAAATACAACTTTGTGACATGTGTAATAATTAGTGATTTCTTTTTTCATTAGGTCGAATGATAAAACGAATAAGTATTGAAAACGGTGAAAGGTTTCGAACGAAGGAAAAATGTTTTATGTGCTAGATCAAACAAAGTCTGTAATCAACAACCTTAAAATTGGTAAGTATATATATATATATATATAAATATTTTTAGATAAAAAACAATATTCTTTTTCTTTTTCACTTGTAATCTAAGTTCATCTAAGGAATGTTTAGTTTCTTATTTAATTTTCTTTTGTTAAGATTAATTTAAGTTTATATTCGTATCTTTGAATGTTCGAGGATATAATCATTTATTACAATAAATAGGACAGAAAAGTTTTATATATTATTTTACAAGGACTCCGTCTCAGTCATGTATCTCGGAAGGATAATGTTTTTGTAAATGATGAACGTGTTTCGATTGTTAATTGTTTCATTATAGTCATAGCGGTTTGATCATCGCGCAGTTTTAAACGTATCATCTTAGACAAATATAAATTTTTTATTATTTATAATTTTTTAAATTATTTCAAATATTTTGAGGTGATCGAGATGTTATATATTGACAATATAATATCATATTAATCGACATAGTTTTTACTGTAGAAATAACAAAAAAAGAAATGACAATGAATCCACAAGAAGACAGAAGGATTGTTTGAAAAAAAAAAAATGTGTTACATATATAAAACGTATAATTGATATTTTATCTAGAAGAATGATCTATAATATTCATGAGGGTCCTTTTTTCTTTTTTAAATAAAAAAAAGAAAAAAAAGTTGAAAAAATTGGATTATTATCTAAGATAATGATTGATTTGTTTTTTTCCTTTTAGTTTGATTTGAACATTTCAAACGTCTGTTATAAGTTATATGTCTAACATTTATCAATAATTAATGTCGTGCGAGAATATTATTGTTAACGAAGTGTTTACTACGTACTAAACGTTTTTCTCAAGAAAACTGGATTACATTTTTTTTTTTCACTTTTTATCTATATTTTTTATTCATAGAGTTAATTATCTGGAATAAATTGTTAATACGGTCATTGTATGATATAATGTCAATGTATATGCGTTTATAATGGCAATATATAAGCATTACTTGCATTACACGTGTTTTACATGAATTTCTGAAAGATTGTATCGTTCCAAGGGTTTATATTATTTATAACAATGCATAATGAATTCGTATTCGAGTATCGTCATACGTTTTTCTATCGTCTATGTTATTTGTAGATATTCGAAAAATTAAAGAAAAGCCTTAAAAGTAACATGGAATAAACACATTAGTTCTACTTTTACAAATAGAGAAGTTAAATATTATTGATCACTATTGAAAAATTATAATCTCCAACATAAGTAAGTCTTTAATGCTTGAAAATTAGTGTTTACTGTGTATGTTATTTGATCGAGAAATACAATAGTAGATGTTTGATAAATTCATGAGAGAGAGAGAGAGAGAGAGAGAGAGAGAGAGAGAGAGAGAGAGAGAGAAAGAGTATGAGTGGCAAGTGGTGAACGTAACCGAATATCGTAAACGAATTATTATTTTTATTCAGTTTTCTTAAAAAGTAAACAAAAAATTACTACTCACTTCGTAATTGCTTCTGTCTGTCATTATGTTGTATCGGTAAGGTTGTTGTTGCATTGAAAAACTGATTCATTAAAACCGAAGACTTTCTCCGGTTTCTTGTATTTCGCGATATCGTTAGCTCATCATGTTCATTTGTACCGTTAGCAGTAAAATTATTATTATTATTATTATTCACTGTAGAACGTCTACGTTCAGTCAGTCTATTCCAAATTATTAATATATCCTTCATGGCGTATATACACTTCACCACAAATTTTTGTTTTAAATAATTAACACAATCAGATTAATAATATCGATCTATCTTTCGATCGATTGATATCGAAATCACTAACAATGAAAGAATATATCTTTTTAATAAAATGAAATAATTGTCAAATATGTATACACATGTATTTCATTATTTGTTTTATTTTCAATTTTAATTAGTTTGTGATAATATCTTCTTCAGGATCGTCCGAGTGATCCTGTGAATCACGTATAAATTCCAATTCTACTGTCAAAAGAATTTATATAGTAATCTAGCTGTTGGTGTGAGCACCATGCAATACCATACGAAAGTGATAGAAACGTGGATCGGTCGACTTCGAAAAATATACTACTATCCCCACCCCGTATGGGAACTTCATACCTGTCTCTCTCTCTCTCTCTCTTCTTTCACTGTGTTTTCAAAGCACGTGGAACTCTGACCAATCAGATTGTGTCGATTTCTTCCTCCATTTATATATATTCCCTCTCTTTCTCTCTTTCTCTCTTTCTCTTATTATTTTTTCTTTCTCTTTATATCCTGTTTCTTTTGTTTTATTTCGTTTTTTGCATTCCAGTATTTTTATATTTTTGTCCCTTTTTTGCCATTAATGATTAGATTCTTCGAAAGAAAGGGGGTAACCTTTTAAAGGGTTTTTTATTTTGTTTTTTTTTGTTTTTTGTTTTTTTTTTACTGACTTGTTTTACATTCAACGATGCTCTTTTTTTTATGCCCTTTTTTTACCTTCCATTTCTGGTTTTTAAGGTTGTGGTACCAAAATAACATCGTTGCAAATTCCATGGTATTATTTTACCTTTTTTATGAATCCTTGGAACGAAAAGTAATTTTATTAAAAGATATTTTTTTGTACAAAATGTTTTTGATCTTATTTCTAAATTTTTTTTTCTTTTTTGTATTAACATTTTATTTGAAATAGAAAATCTATTCAAGCGGTGCATGATTTGTTTTTTAATCCGAGATAATAAATGACGTAATAATCTAAAGATATATTTATGTTTTTTCTCTTTCTCTTTCTCATGCTCTTTTGAATAAATTATGATTCTTCTAGAATATACAAGTCGAAGTTTTTGTTCTCATTCAGATTACTTTTTCACGATCATATATTGTTAGTGTAAACATTGTTTAATTTTATTTTTCTATTGATTTGTTCCTAACATATATAATATTTTTTTAATTTTCAAAATATAAATTGAAAAGTTTTAATTATTCATTGAGAGGACAAAATATAATAAATCCATTAATTAATAAGACAAATTGATTTGTAGAATATATCTTATAAATTATGAAAAAATTTAGACTTCATTCTTAAGTAACATGATGCTAAATATCAAGGTCATGTAGTCGAGATAAATATTTTGTTATAAGATTGTATATGTGTATATATACAAATACATATGTATGAGAGAAAGTTTTAATTTATTTTAAGTTAAATCTTACAAAAATTATGTTACTTCGTTTATGTAATATTAGGTATTTGCATAACGTTCTTCGATTTTACTTCATTATTTGTTCTATTGAGGTATCTTGTTGTAATAATTTTTTTTTTTTCATAAATACTGTTTTTGTTAACAAGGCTATTTTTTCATATTAAGATCAATAATATTATATAATTTGCTATAGTTGAAATTATTTTCTGGAATTTTTTCAAGATTATTGTAACCTTACAACTGATTATACACTCTCTCTTTTGGAATGTACATGTAATTGCAACAGATGGATGTTTCTTTTTTAGAATTCAGATAAATCAAATTGTAATCCTCGAGTAATGTCTTGATACGATTTTCCTTATTTTGTCTTTTCTTATGATTATTATAACTATCTGTTTTTCTTCGGTAATGTCATCGTGGAACTTGCCAAATAGTTATTTGCGAAGCAATTTAATGTCATTTATATTATCTGATGTAATCATCACAAATCATTTCTCGATTAAATGTTGTGTTTACGGTTTGTTTTTTTCCATCTATTGGGATATTATCTTTTTACTTTATGATATAATAAAACTTGCTGATAAATAGAAACTCAAACGGAATATTCAAAAACTATAATATTTTCTATACTGGAGAATAATTGGTGTATAAATAACAAAAATGTGGATGATCTAGGATGATTTATGTTAATACATAATATAATAAATAAATGAAGTTATTATAAGTCAGTGGTTCCCAAACTGGAACTTTTTCTATCGCCCCCTTTTCTCTGCAAAAATATTCCCTCCCCCTTTTTGTTTTTGCTTTTTAGTACTGTACCTCAGGAATCTGACAGGAATTTGATAGAATGACCTTTTTTTTTTTTGACCTTTTTGACCTTTTTTTTAATGCACACCTATCAATCGCATCTCTTCAATCGCTTCATCGTCCACCAATCTCACAAAAAAGCCTAAATGAGGGAATTTCCTTGTAACTTTATTACTATTGACAGCCTTCGCTGACAGTTTTTCCTTTTTAGTACTTCATTTCCCTCACCTCCAAAGTTCACCTGTGGTCGTGGTCGTCAGTCATCGTCCCCCTGGATCTCAAAATCGCCCACTTTGGGAATCACTGTTATAAGTTATAATACTTTTACGTATTTGTAGCACGGAATTTATAAACATGCGAATTTTAAAATGACTACAAAAACATATTTAGCTATAAATATATCTTTAAGAATTCTTCCTCGTTCATACTATAATTCATCTTCTTTACATTTCAATGAATTTTCATTGTTCAGAACAAGATGATAATATGTAAGTGTTAAAAAAATATATAAATTTATAAATCATTGAAGGAATAAGATAGATTAAGGAGTAACACCACTATAGAATTTTTGAAAAATCGATTTTTATTTTTTTTAGCTTAAAGTGTACTTTAGACATCTAAAATTCAGACAAAAAAATTCCCCCCCCCCCAAAAAAAGGCTTTTTTTCAGGCTCTATAGTGGTGTTACACCTCTTAATGTAGGTATTCGTATTTTGGTGAATCTTCAAACATGATATAATCTATAAATATTCAGAAGGACGGTTAGAAAAATATGAATTTACTTTGAGAGAAAAGTAGTATTGAGATAATCGTGATATTTAGTTAGAAGACAAATGGTAGACGAGATGTTATCATTTATTAGCTGCATTGGTACGTAATTGTATTCCTATGATGTTTTACCATAAATTTCTAATTAATCTTTCCTTCTTTACTTTTGTGCTTTGACCTAACGATTAGCGTAGGAAGTAGTACTTCATTAATCTTTGTAAGCAAATGAAAAGTTTATTAAAGTTCTATGCAACTTGTAGTTTTTTTAAAGTACTTTCAAGTGACTACTTTGAACATATATATTTAAAACAGGACGCACAGACCTACCACTAAGAAGAAGAAGAAGAAGAAAAGAAGAATTATATATTATATATAAATATAAATATATATTATTTATAACATATTATTTACGTTATTTACGTTATTTTATGATTTATTTCAGAAATTCGATATCAAGAAAATTCTAGAAATATGGAAAAGTGTATTCTATTTGTTTCTTTTTTACAGCGTTTCTTAATTTCTTTCTTTTATAAACACGGATTTCAGGTCGTACTAATTATGCATTCCGAAATTTTTTGCTAGGAGAGTTGCAGGGAGCAACGAGGAGGATTGAGAAGAAAGAGGAAATCAGCCCATGACGTAAATCGACAAACGTTGATCGTTTAATTGGTCTACAGAAATGGCCAATTAAAAAATAACTTTTTTCCTATAATATCGTTATCTTTGAAAATTTTCTTTATTCGCAATAAATAGTTTATATTTCCAAATAAAAGTTAACGGTTTAGCCATGTTATATTTTTATATTGTAGTTTCCGGCCGATTACTATATAGTCAAGCAACATGAGCACGTTTAATAGCATGGATGGGCTGACCTGTTTGGAGAAACCCATGACTAAAATCGTGTGCTGCGTTGATTTCAAAGAAATGATAAAAGGATGCGATTAAGGATTTTTGGTAGTAGTATTCAAAAGAAAAGACTCGAATTCGTAATACGGAGAATAAAATTATAATTAAATAGTATAAAAGTAAGAGTATCACAAGTATTTGTGATCGTTAGTTTTATGAAACATACAAATGACAAAATTTATGCGAATTTAAATAGTGATCATTTAAATATTCGATATTCATTGTAAATAATAGATAGTTTAGGTATATTTTTTATTTAGTGGAAGTGATTAAATTATTCGCGTATAAATTTTTATTTCATTAAAATGTAAAAACACATCTTTTTCCATTTAGAGAAAGGTCAATATGCCGGAATAACATTTCGACGTTATTGATGATACTTAATTTGCCTAAAAGATAAATAATTTTCTATTCTTTAATGCAAAGTATTGTATTTTTTTAATTCTTTCTTCTCGTTTTTTTTTTGTTTTTTGTTTTGTCAGTGCGTATTGTGAGTATTTATTTATTAAAACTAATTATTTCGTTAACATTGAAATAACATTTCAATGGGAATAAATTATAGATTATTTTTTTAAATTTTCGAGTTCATATAAGAACAAGTATTACATAAAAATGTAATCTTGAAATGTAAACATAAAAAATATAAATGGACAGTTCTCAGATAAGTAATATAGATCATGTAATATAATGAAGAAAATTGATGTTTTAATTAACTTATTAAAAATGCATCGAATATGCTGTTGTTTATTTTGTTTATCGATCAAACTTATTAATATCACAGATAAATAAAGTTAATATACATTACTAAAATAATCGTGTATATGAGATACTTATATTCCCATAATAAAATTAGTGAATTTATATTCACGTAAAATATATTTGCAGAAGCTATTGTTGAAAAGAAGACAATTAGCATTTTTCAACAAAATTAAAATAATAATCAAATATTTTGTCTTGTGATGAAATTCCGAAAATACCATTGTTAAATTTCGTTACAGGGCCAATATAATATAACTGGATCTTCCAGTTTCGACGTTAATGGTTTTAAAAAAGAAAGTAAGTGGGGATTGAAACGATTCAACCAGCAACTTCTTGCTGCTCTCCTCGTAACCTGTTTTGTCTTGTCGAAAATAAGAAAAAGTATTCATCGGAAAATTTCACATCATAAGATATAATAGGCTTAACTTTTACATTTAAAATCTCAACGAATCTCTGACAATTAACAGACATTGATCAAGATCGTAAGTGATCGTTAATAGATGGATTTATGCAAAAATATTCTATGATAGTCATTACGTAGTAAGAAATAAATTAATCTTAACAAGGTTCAAAGAATTATACTTTCGAAGAATAGTTTCGTAATGCTGATTATGCATTTAAGGAAAATTAATTTCACCATA